AGTCATCTGGACGCTTGATGAATATGCAAACCGATCATATAGACAAACCAGAAGAAGGTTCTGAACGGAATGCCTGTTCCGCTGGTGATTCTGTTCCTCCACCCACACTACGATAACGCTGACGCAGCGCCGCGTCTGATATGGCCACACGAGACGTCGCGTTGGATTGACGTGTCAATTTAAAACTGAGGTGCTGCGTTAAGCGATATGCAGATGAGTTCGCTGACCCTCAAAGTCTCAAAGTTGAAACCACCATTTGCGGGCGATGCTCCCCAGTGCCTTGCTTTCTGCGGCTGCTCTTTTTCCCTCTCGAGCCTCTTCTTTCTGTGTCATTGGCTTTACTCTCCACCGCACGCGACATCTCTCTAGGCTTCCGCTCGACGTTCCATATTCCCCATCAGCTTCTGATGTCTATTTGTGTTCTGCTGACACACAAGAGGGGCGCAGCTTCTCCGCGTATCGCGAGGGAATCTGGATATCAGACTCCGTCAATGCGTCCCCAGTCGCGGGATGCGCCGCTATCTGGTTTCATATGTCTTCTTGATTTATTACCAGCTCTTTCCACGGGCTCCAGATGAAAGCAAACACGCACGGAGCCGCTTCCCGCCCCGTGACGTTTTGTCTTTTTAATAAAGTTGTCCGCCTGAGCTGAAGGCGCGTGGTCGGTCCAACGTCGTAGCTCATAAGGCGGAATATTAGCATATGATACACCCGACTATCTGTTTCATCCATTCCACTCTTCACTTTTTGACACCTTGCTACTCTTTATCAACCCGAGGAGGGGGAAAAAAAAATGCAAGTTAGCGCGTACCAAACTAGCATTCGCTATATCACATTTCTAGTCGAGGTGGCGTATGTTATTTTAACGTTTAGCGGACTTGGTCAGAAATGTTGGTTTAGTGTTTAATTTATGAAGATTCGGAGATGAATATCCCTGGTTTGGAATCACATCTTAGAAATAGTTTTTGGCATTAGTCGGGGGAAAAAAATGCAAGTTAGCGCGTACCAAGCGAGCAATCGCTATGTCACATTTCTAGTCGAGGTGGCGTATGTTATTTTAACGTTTAGCGGACTTGGTCAGAAATATTGGTTTAGTGTTTAATTTATGAAGATTCGGAGATGAATATCCCTGGTTTGGAATCACATCTTAGAAATAGTTTTTGGCATTTGCTGCCAACACAAGTCACCCAGTCTCACAGCAAGACGTCGGTAAAAAGTGAACAGACGCCACATGAAAAGTCTCGCTTTTGCTTGGAAAGTGCCAAACAACTCAAGTTCCAGGCCTAAAACAAGGAACGCCTTGACAACAACGCCAGTGATGAAGGAAGAAACAGAATGTGGCCGTTTCTGTAATATTTAACACTAGAACTGGCAGTCACTTTTTGCGGAATTTTCTTGACTTACTCATTGGAACTGCGCGGATTATCAAACGCTTTTGTTCTCCTTTATCAGATTTACTTTATCACTTTGAGAAAGAAACGGCGGTGATGTGTGGCTTTTATTTCTCCTCAGCCTAACAATAGAATATGGACTACCCACAATTCCTGCAGAATGTACAATACTGTGATCACGATTTTTGTTGCGATTGCTAAATTGCTATCTCGGGGCCAAACTAAGAATCAGTCAGATGACTTTGTGCAACTGGCGGTGTACGCTTTCAGATTGGTCACCAGTCCTTCGGAGAGCACACGAAGAGAAACAACCATTCACACTCAACATTTGAGATTCCTCAGTTACCCGACGCGCGGTTTTGCAACGTGGGAGAACTAATACCAAAGCTGAACCTCTCCACTGCGAGGCAACGCAAGGCAGCGTCATCTATTTAGCGCATTTCAAACACAAGCTAACTCAATGTGCTTCACATTCATTAAAAGCACATTTACAAACAAAAGAGCTAAATATGTTGAAAAACAAAGTGAGGAAATAAAAAGCTTACTAAAGCTACCAAAAGAATGTCGTGCAAGAGGGAAATACCCAAGCAACAAATCCACACACTCTTTCTCCCACTATAATGAAAATGGCTTTAAAAATGGTCCGCTTGAAAATATGTACATGGTTAGTCCTAATCCAGCTAATATGTCTTAAATCCAACTATGAGTTGGATCAGTGGAGTCACATCTCGAATGGTGGCATTTATTCAATCTTGCCGGAATATTAGCCAATAAATATTTAATGTAGCTGACTTGATGGTTCGAATAAATAGTCTAATTAGCTCCCCCACGCCTCGCGACGGTTGTTGACCTCTGGGGTGTAGCTTCACAGCAAAGATAAAGATTCCTAATCTGTGGTGTATGACTTCAGACTGATGCCTGAAGTGTAGCCTGTGATTCACTGTATTGATTAAGCGCTGGAGCGTGCGCCCGGTCAGCCTTAATGGCAATAATACGTCTTTCGCTAAGCACCAAAGGTCTGTGCAATGTCATCCGAGTGTGTACATAAACACATCCTCGGCTCCGCGTGGCCGCTTTACCTCTCTGCCGTGTTCTTCTCCGTGGCTTTGCAAATTAGCTGTGACCTTG